CTTTGAACTAGTTATCCTCCTTTCTGTTTTATAGCCCCACATCTATTATCTGCAAGTCCTATAAACCCCATGTCCAGACTCTAAGACTTCTCACATCCTCCAATCTATCTCTCTTGTCTGCCTCTCATATCTAATCTATCTCTTGCTTCAATTACTATAGTAGCCTCCTAATGAATCTCCCTGCTTCTGGTCTTCCTAAAGTCTATTCCAATACAATAGTTGGAGTGATACTTTGAAAACATAAGTCTGGTCAAAACTATCCAGTGGCTTCTAATCTTACTCAGAGTAAGCCAAGGTCCTATAAAATACTGTACCTGACCTGACTTTTTGTTTTAATACTAGAGGCCCAATGCACGAATTCATGCACAGGTGGGGTCCCTCAGCAATCGAGGCCTATCAGGGGGCCAGCCAGCATGGGGGGGAGGACCATGTGAAGTTGGCCAGCCAGGGAGAGGGGCTGCAGGTTGGCTGGCTGGCCAGCCCCCCCTCATCGGGGCCAACTGGGGGGCCAACCAGGGGGAGGGGCTGTGGGAAGTTGGCTATGGGAGCACACTGACTACCAGGGGGCATCTCCTGCACTGAGTGTCTGCCCCCTGGTGGTCAGTGAGTGTCATAGCGACTGGTCGACCGGTCGTTCCAGTCATTTAGTCATAATGATCGCTTAGGCTTTTATATAGATAGATGCCCCTTCTCACTCACCTGCTCCTTTTTGCTGTTCCTAGACAATCCCAGGCATGTGCCTGCCACAGAGCTTTTGCACTTGCTATTCCTTCAGCCTAAAATGTTGCTCCTACATTTAGCACATAGCTGCTATCTCACTTCCTTCAGGTGTCTGACCCACCCTATCTAACCAACAGCACCCCATCCCCACCTCCACCCTGGCACTCTGAATGCTTCTTTGGCCCTATGCCACAAGTTCTAATATGTAGTGCTCTAAAGTGGCCTGAAGAGTCCCAGGTTCAATCCTAGTCAAGGGCACATGCCCAGGTTGTGAACTCCATACCCAGTAGGGGGCATGCAGGAAGCAGCCAATCAATGATTCTCTCTCATCATTAATGATTCCACCAATGATGTTACCAGGGATTGAGCCCGAAACCTAGGCATGTGCCCTGACCTGGAATTGAATGAGCAACCTTTTTATGCATGGAACAATGCCCAACCAGTTGAGCCACACTGGCCAGGGCATATTTTTCCTACTATTTCTACCAAATTTTTCTTTGTATATCTTGAAACTTTATGGTTATGAAATTAAGATGTTGACACTGTTCCTGGTGAGTTGTGCCCCTCACCCTTGTGCCAGCTTCCACATCACTTATTTGCTCTTCAGTTATGCCCATTTTGTGACTCAGTGTATCAGTGAGGGGTGTTGGAGGGGGCTTTTCTGACAAATATTTTAAGATCAGAGTATTATTCACAATTTCTCTTTAAGTGGTCTTTGGCTTAAACACTATTCCATCTGATGTTAGATTGCTACACCTGCTTTCTTTAGTTAGCATCTGCTTGGTGCATTGTTTTCATCTTTAGACTTTCATCCTTTTAACCTAGTTTTGAGGTGGATGTGTCTCTTGTAAATAGCATTGACATGGATTTTGTTGCTTTCCTCAACCTAACAAAATCAATCTTTTAATACATTCTATTTTAATGGTTACTCTAAAACTGTTAACTATATATATATATATATTTTTTTTTTATTGATTTTTTACAGAGAGGAAAGGAGAGAGATAGAGAGTTAGAAACATCGATGAGCGAGAAACATCGATCAGCTGCCTCCTGCACATCTCCTACTGGGGATGTGCCCGCAACCCAGGTACATACCCTTGACCGGAATCGAACCTGGGACCTTTCAGTCCGCAGGCCGACGCTCTATCCACAGAGCCAAACCGGTTTCGGCAACTATATTTTTTTATATAAATAGAATTAACTTCCAGGTTCTCTAGTTATTTATTTTCCTTGACAACAATACTCTCAAGTCCTTCAGAAAATATTAGATAGATATATATATATATATATATATATATATATATATATATATATATATATATATCCTAATCCTATATAATAAAAGGGTGATATGCAAATTGACCCTAACAGCAGAATGACTGGGAATGACTGGTCACTATGACACACACTGACCACCAGGGGACAGACGCTCAATGCAGGAGATGCCCCCTGGTGGTCAGTGCGCTCCCACAGGGGGAGCTCTGCTTAGCTACAAGCCAGGCTGATGGCTGCCAGTACAGCAGTGGTGGTGGGAGCCTCTCCCGCCTCCTCAGCAGCACTAAGGATATTCGACTGCAGCTTAGGCCTGCTCCCCACTGTCAAGTGGACATCCTCCGAGGGCTCCCAGGCTGCCAGAGGAATGTCTGACTGCCAGCTTAGGCCCAATCCCATGGGGAGTGGCCTAAGCCAGCAGGTGGACATTCCCTGAGGGGTCCCAGACTGCAAGAGGGTAGAGACTGGGCTGAGGGGACCTCCCCCCCTTCCTGAGTGCACAAATTTTTGTGCACCAGGCCTCTAGTTTATATATAATCTCCCTCTGGCTCCTAATTCTGTGTTCTTGAATACAAGCATCTCTGACAGGTAAACCTGGAGCCTCTCTGTCGTGGCCTTGAATTTCCTCAGGTGTTTGGTGATTCTTGGTGTGTGTTCATTTTTGTGTTTTGCTGGGGTCCAACCCCAGCAGGTCCAGGGTTCCCCAAAGGTGTGGACAGAGTCAGCGAAGAAGGAATGACACGGAGACAGGATTCAGTTGATCAGCAGCCTTGCCAGGATCTCTAGCCACAATCTCCAGCCAAGTTCTGTGTCCATGTTCTCTTGCTAGGTTCTCCGGGTTCTCCAGCCAGGTTCTGTCCAGGTTCTCCAGCCAGGTTCAGTCACCAGGTTCTAGTCAGGTTCTCTTGCCATGTTCTACCCAGGTTCTGTAGCCGTGTTCTCCAGCCAGGTTTGGTCGCCAGGTTCTGTAGCCAGGTTCTTCAGCCAGGTTCTGTAGCCAGGTTCTGTCCAGGATCTTTTGCCATGTTCTCTCACTAGGTTCTGTCTCTAGGTTCTGTGTCTAGGTTCTGTGTCCTGTTGTCTTGTTACATCTGTATTTATACCAGTTGATTCCAATCCTATCAATCTTTATTCCAAAGGTTAGGGCGTTTCTTATCTCCATTCCAGGGAGTAAAGATTATGTAGCTAAGGCATGATTGTTCGTAGTTAAAGTGATTAACTACCCGCCTGGCACTTAGTTAAGGGGTTTTATTCCCTCCCTAACTTCAGGGGAAAATCCCTACCTGGGGAAACAACCTTTCTCAGAGAGGTGACCTTGGTTAAAACACATAGTGCCAAGAAGGTGAACAAACATATTAAGAACAGTATGCCTTATATGCCAGGTCCTTTGAAACAGCAAGGATGGACCGCCTCCCAGCAGTGTTTGAGAATCCCTGCTTTTCTGCATGTTCTTCTCACTGAAGTTTGCTTCTGATAACTGTGGATAAGTGGTTTGTGCTGCTGAGGGGTCAAAGACTAGGCTCTCAGCCCCAAGTGGGGCTCAACACAGAGGAGAGGGCGAGGGCTACCTCCCGACTGACATCCTCACATTTACCTCAGGACCCCTCCTGCTTCTCATTTCTGTTGACTTGGAGCTCAGAAAGGGTGTGTTTGGGGTTAGTGATTTCAGTTGGTCATTTACCACTCTGGATATGGTCCCATCTGCTTTTTTATGTTTAGGAATTCCTCATGGTTATTTCTGCTGATGAAAGTTTTTCTTATTTTCTAGAACCATTATTGATTTGTTCTCTATGAGACTTGGAATTGAAGGGAAGTTAAAAACGCTGATCAATTCTTGTTACTCACCCACCTCATACTCCCTCCTCCCTCTCTTCCTCTCCTCCTTCCTTTTATTTCATGGGGGGAGGGATGAAAATGCAGAATAATACTGTGAGTTCTGGGGCCTTTGCAGGTAAGTGGTCACTCATTTGGCAGAGGGTAGTGGTTGAGCTTCTGTTTAGCCTGCCCACTGAACCCCCGCCCCTGGGGAGCTGCAGCCTGGAAGCTCCTCCTGCAAGGCTGTGGAGCAGACCCATTCGCCTTCCCTGCAGCTGCACAGAGACACCAGCCTGAATCATCAAAGGCTGTGGGGAGTGGGGAGAGCAGAGGCCAAGGAAGGGCCATAGAGAGGTTAATGTGGAATGGCCTCCTGGAAGAAGGGTACCTTTAGGAGAAGGAAAGGAGTTGTAGTCATCCCAGTTCTTCTTGAAAACCCCACTGGGGTGCTCCCTCCTCTGAGGAGGGCTGCCCTCAGTTTCCTCCAAGCTTCCAGGCCAGCACTCACAATGCTCTCCCCAACTTGGTGTTTCCCAGGGAAGGAACTGGGTTGCAGCATCTTTGTGCTCCCCTCAGTATATGCTGGTCAAATTATTTGAATAAATTGCAAGCATTTGAAAGTATCCAAATTCTGTTTGCTCTGGACTTCTTGAGTCTCTCAAGACTCCACAGCATTCCATTTCTCGTCCAGGTCAGAGTAACACCCTGCCCCTGTTTATAGATAATTAGACTCTAGGGAATCCAACCCCAAATTAGTGTCGCCACCAGCCTCCCCACCTCCTTGGTTCCACAGGCACCTTCCCACTCCAGGTCCTCAGCTTCCCTTCTCTTTCCCTTTGCTGAACAGCTGATGAAACCTGAGGAGATTCCAGTTCTCCAATACGTGAACGGGGATGACCTTCTTCTACTGGCCATTTTAATAAGGATTCGACGCCTGTTTCATAAACTTGAAGGATGTGTGAATTTTCCCTCTGGTCAGGTTTGGGGAAAATTAAAGCAACCTTCCTACCTTTCTTCACTTTCTGTAAAACTGATGGCCCTTTGTCACAATTCCAGTATAAAGAAAGACACCAAAACAACAATAGCAGCTCTAATAAATGAAAAAATTTAACTAAGTATAATGGTGCTTTCACTTGTTTCATTGATTTTTTTTAAGGAGGGGGTGCAGGAGATTTCAAGAAGAGTATATAAAATGATTAGGGAAGACCAAGAAATAGGCTTTATTATAAATTTAGAATACATCCTGGGTCATCACTGGTTTACATTCTTGGTCAGGGAAAACTATCTCACTTTCAGGACAGCAGAGAATGAGCAAATCAGCAAAAGTGTTCATGTCAACTGGAGTTCTATCAGGAAAACAGAAAACAGGGAGGGGTCAGAATTTCCAAAACCATCCTAAAGGCTAGGGAAGTGAAGGTCAACAAAACCCCACTGGCTTCCAGGAAAACTGGGAGTGAGAGGATCTCAGGAAGCTAACAGCAAGGAAGTGAGGGTGGCAGGAGCTCTCCTGGAAGAGCTCCCCTCACATTTGAGAGTGGGACTAACAAGAAACGGCCACCTGCCTGATCCCCCGCCCTCCTGCCAGGGATGAATGGGGGCCTGCTTCTCTCCCACCTGGCAAACATCAGGCAGGTGCCTCTTGCTGGGGAATCATAACTGGGACTGCTGGCAAGGGATTTTAGAACATCGTGTATTTCCCCTTCCAAGGGGAAGGTGGGGGTGCTGCTGAGTCTGCAAGGACAACCCAGCACAGTTTCTTCTGCTCAATGATAAAGTTGCTTTAGAGAACAATGAAGAGTTGAGAGGAACACCTGCACACTGCCTTTCTGAACTTCCTGGATTTCTCAGTTCCCTGTTCTTTTCTTTTAAATTTTATAATAGTTTTATTGGAGTGGAATGACCTAAAGCTATCAATCAACTTTATTTTTTAAATTATAGTTGACATACAATATAATATTAGCTTCAGGTGTACAACATAGTGATTCAACATTAACTTACCTTACAAAGTGATCAACACAATAAGCCTAGTAACCATTTGTCACCATAGATAGTGATTATGATTATTACTAACTTTATTCCCTATGCTTTACAGCAGGGGTCCTCAAACTTTTTAAACAGGGGGCCAGTTCACTGTCCCTCAGACCATAGGAGGGCCGGACTATAGTTTTTAAAAAAAAAAAACTATGAACAAATTTCTATGCACACTACACATATCTTATTTTGAAGTAAAAAAACAAAATGGGAACAAATACAATATTTAAAATGAAGAACAAGTAAAGTTAAATCAACAAACTTACCAGTATTTCAATGGGAACTATGGGCCTGCTTTTGGCCAGTGAGATGGTCAATGTCCGGTTCCATATTTGTCACTGCTAGTCGTAACAAGTGTGCATCAGTTAGTCTAGATCTGGTTGGAGATTTCAGATGTTTCATTCTGGAAAAAGGCTCTCTTAACTTCAAAAAAAAAAAAAAGGCCCTACTAACTGCAAAATAAAAAAAAAAAATAGACCTCCTAACTTCAAAAAAAAAATAAATCCTAACTTGTTCTTACCTCGGTCCTCAAGCAGCAGCAGGCTCTGCACAGGCAAGCTCGTGACTCGTCTGATCACACCCAAGACTGAGAGGAGGAGCCCAGAGACAGAGAGAAGGAGGGGAGTCGGAGAATGCAGCGCACATTCCACACATGCGCACTGCGGGCCCAGGATGAGTTGGCTGCTAAGCAACAGGCAGCTGCGGCAAAAACACCCGACAGGTTGGATAAATGTTTTTGGTGGGCTGCATGTGGCCCGCGGGCCGTAGTTTGAGGACCCCTGCTTTACAGTATATCCCCATGATTTACATTATAACTGGAAGTTTGTACTTCTTAAGCCCCTGCTCCTTTTCCGCCCAACACCCTGTTCTCTGGGAGAGGGAGAAATGTAGTTTGAGGGACCATTCCTTATAGTGAATTCCAAATTTGGTGTGAAATGCACAAGAGGGATTAAGCCTATCAACCATTCACCACTTAGTGTGAAGTACTAAACCCTATTGTTTTCCTACAAAGAGCCACCTGAGGAAGTGCAAGTTGGGAATGGAAGGTAAAGGAGTAAGTGAAAGAATGAAATATTCCTGGGAAGGCTGAGTAGGAACCAGTAGGAAGGAGCTGAGTCACTGGGAGATGGGGCCTAATTCTTGGTAGTAAGCCATTTGCCACCTTTTATGTTGTTGTTGCCTTTTGTTAGCTTGTTTTATAAGAACTCTGTTAACATTGAAGATTTAACTTTATTATTCTTCATTTCTACACTTGCTAATCTCCCCTGCTATCTTTGTGAAAAAGAGGTTACTAGACTCATGCCTGGATCAACACTAAATCTCTCTTTTCTATTTTTGACTTTTGCCTCTTCTTTTTCATTGATGAGGGAAATTTTAGTTTCAAGTAAGATAGAAATATTAAATTAATTGAGCGAATATGTATAAGCATATCTCTGAAAAATAGCACATAAAGTACAAGTAACAGTCACAACAAAGCCTCAACTAAATCTGTTCTTGTACATTAGTAAAACTTATTTCATGGATGTAAAGCCCATAGTAGATACTGAATAACACCTTGATTAATTGGACATAGGCAAAATAATGAGATGACTTTTTTTTGCAGTAGTAGTTTCAGATGTACAGCATAATGGTTAGACAATTATATACTTTACAAAGTAACCTCTTGATATTTCAAGTACCCATCTGACACCATACATAGTTATTACAATATTATTTACTATATTCTCTATACTATACTTTACATCCCTGTAACTATTTTGTGACTGCCAACCTGTAGTTCTTAATCCCTTCACCTTTTTCAACACCTCTCCTTCCCCTCTATCAATCATCAGTCTGATCAATGAGTCTGTTTCTATTTTGTAATATACATCCTATCTAATAAAAGAGTAATATGCAAATTGACCATCACTCCAACACACAAGATGGCCACTTCCATGTGGACACAAGGTGGCCAGCAGGGGAGGGCAGTTGGGAGGAACCAGGCTTGAAAGGGAGGGCAGTTGAGGGCGATCAGGCCTGCAGGGGAGGGCAGTTGGGGGGGACCAGCTCTGCAGGGGAGGGCAGTTGAGGGGAACCAGGCCTGCAGGGGAGGGCAGTTGGGAGGAACCAGGCTTGAAAGGGAGGGCAGTTGAGGGCGATCAGGCCTGTAGGGGAGTACAGTTAGGGGTGACTAGGCCAGCAGGGGAGGGCAGTAGGGGCAATTGGGCCAGCAGGGGAGCAGTTAGGCTTCAATCAGGCTGGCAGGCATAAGCGGTTAGGGGCAATCAGGCAGGCAGGCAGGCAGGCAAGTGGTTAGGAGCCAGCAGTCCTGGATTGTGAGAAGAATGTCTGACTGCCTGTTTAGGGCAGTCAGACATCCCTCAAGGGGTCTCAGATTGGAGAGGGTGCAGGCTGGGTGAGGGACACACACCCCCATGTACGAATTTCGTGCACTGGGTCTCAAGTGTATATATATTTATATATATCACCTCTTCATTATCCACTGGCCTATTGATGGATACTTGGGTTGCTTCCAGAGCTTGGCTATCCTAATATATAAAACCCTGGGTCTGTCACATCCACAACGACCAGAGACTCAACCTAACACCCATGCTGCAGGTGCAGCAGGCTCTGGTGGGTGGGAACTTGTGGCAGCAGAGACAGGGATGGGGGAGGCAGGGCCAGCACTCACACTCACAACCACACACACAGAGAGACACACACAACACCCACCAGTTCACAGACTTTTCTCCCTTTCTTTCCCTCCCTCCCAGCTTGCTCTCAGAGCCTCTGTCAGAATGAGGAAACAAAACAGACTGGGCCTGAAAAGGCCTGGATGGAAGGGGGTGGAGCAGCCCCCACTAGCCCCAACCCCTCCCAGCTGGGAAAGAGGAAAAGGGAGACAGGGAGGCAGGGAGACCTGGAGGGCTGCTGAGGAAAACAAAGAGAGACAGAGACTGGGCGAGATCAGGCCAGCAGGGGAGGGCAGCGATCAGGGAGGCAGGCAGGCAGAGGCAGTTAGGTGTGATCAGGCAGGCAGGCAGGCAAGTGGTTAGGAGCCAGCAGTCCCAGATTGCAAAAGGGATGTCCAACTACCAGTTTAGGTCCTGCCTGGCACTCGCATTCATTGCCAGCACCAGAGCTGCCACTCACACCTGCTGCCGGCACCCGGCACCAGCCCCAGTCCCTCAGTACTGTCAACGAGTGCGGGCAGCAGCTGCTGGGCCTGATCACCCCTCCAGGCTTCTCTACCTCCCCTTGCTCCTACGGGGCGATCAGGGTCGGCAGCTGCCTCTCGCACCTGCTGCCAGCACCAGCCCCACTTGCATTCACAGCCAGTGCCAGCCCCAGTCGCCCCTGAGGGCCTCTCCACCTCCTCCTGCTCACACCCGATGCTGGCACCGGCCCCAACTGCTCTGCACTGTCAGTGGGTGCGAGCAGGGCCAGCACCATCGGTGCGTGGGAGTGGTGGCAGCAGCGGCAGGAGCAGGGCTGCCAGCAGACAGGGGACCAAGGGCCATGGTGGGAGGGGCCAGGCAAGGGTGTGGAGGATGGGCCAAGACCCGCCCCTATGCCCACTGCAGCCTCATGGTCCACAGTTCCTTTCAAGGTGCACGAATTCATGCACTGGGCCCCTAGTCTATATATAAAAGCCTAAGTGGCCGTTACCACCAAACAACGGGAATGATTGGAATAACCCATTGATCAGTCACTATGACGCACACTGACCACTAGGGGACAGACGCTCAATGCAGGAGCTGCCCCCTGGTGGTCAGTGTGCTCCCACAGTGGGAGTGCCACTCAGCTGACCAACCTGTCCTGGCAGCCCACCAGCCCAGCAGCAGCCACTCACTCCCTCAGTAGTCCTGCAGGTCCAATCTCCAGAGAACGGCCCCGGAACTGATGGACCAGTGCCACCAGCACAATCCCAACAGCATCACCAGCCTCCTAGAAGTCGGCTTCAGTCACCATGGCTGCTTCTCCTCCCTAGACACTCTGCAAGGAAGAAACAATATAAAAGCGGACACCAGATGGCTCCCAACAACCAGTGCAAATGTCAGCGGGATGGATCCGAATCCTCGCCTGGCAAGGGCATCCCACCACCTGCCTGCAGGACCGATCACATCCTGGTCCCCAACCCCCATGGAACCCTACCCGTGCACGAATTCATGCACCAGGCCTCTAGTTATAAATAATGCTGCAATGAATATAAGGGTGCATATATTCTTTTAACTTAGTGTTCTTGGTTTCCTCAGATATATTCCTATTTCTTGAGGAACCTATATATTGTTTTCCACAGTGGCTGCACCAGTCTGCAGTCTCACCAGTGGTGGTACTAGGATTCCCTTTTCTCCACATCCAAACCAACACTTGTTGCTTGCTGATTTATTGATGATAGCCATTCTGACAGGTGTGAGGTGATATTTCATTGTGATTTTAATTTGCTTATCTCTTTTCATATTGGTCTCTTAGGAGAAGTGTCTATTAAAGTTCTCTGCCCATTTCTTAATTGCTTGTTTATTTTGGTGTTGAGTTGTATGAGTTCTTTATAACTTTTGGATATTAACTCCCTCTCAGATATATCTTCTCCCATTCAGTAGGTTGTCTTTTCATTTTGTTGATGCTTTCCTTTGCTGTGCAAAAACTTTTGTTTGATGTAGTCCTATTTATTTATTTATTTATTTATTTATTTTATTATTTTTATTTTTATGTATTTTTATTCCTTTGCCCAAGGAGATACGTCAGAAAAAAACATTGCTATGAGAGATGTTGGTGATTTACTGTCTATGTTTTCTTCTGGAAGTTACATAGTTTTACATCTTACATTTAAGACTTTATCCATTTTTAGTTTATTCTTGTGTATGGTGTAAGTAGGTGGTCTAGGTTTTGGTTTCTTTTAAGTATCTGTCAAATTTCCTTAACACCATTTATTGAATATGTCTTTACCCCATTGCATGTTTTTGCCTCCTTTGTCATGTACTTATTGACCATATAAGTGTGAGTTTATTTCTGAGCTCCCTACTCTGTTATTTTTATCTATATGTCTATTTTTATGTCAGAACCATGCTATTTTGATTACTATGGCCTTGTAGTATAGTTTGATATCAGGTAGCACGATTCTTCCAACTTTGTTCTTCTTTCTCAAGATCACTATTACTATTTGGGAACTTTTGTGGTTCCATATAAATTTTTGAATTATTTGTTTTTGATCTGTAAAATATGCCATTGGTATTTTGATAGGGATTGCATTGAATCTGTAGATTTCTTTGGGGAGTATGGACATATTTTAATGAGATTAATTCTTCTTATCTGTGAACATTTATGAATATATGCTTCTATTTATGGTATTTGTATATTCTCTAATTTCTTTTTTTATAAGAGAACATTTATTTATAAAGTCACAGAGATAGAAGTAATTTGTAGAAGAAATTGATTTAGAAAACAAATTATAGAGGTAAAGGAAGGGCCCTAGGAACTTGGGAGTGAGAATGGTAATGGTCTGAATGAAGGAGTAGGGGGAAAG